TAAATAATAATAATCACGATAATAATCAAGAGGGCTGTTTAGCAAGGTTGTGCTATGGTTGTGCTTGTCCTTCTTAGGTGCATGTGGCTTTTTTGGGGGGGTTTGAACAGGACAGCAAGTCCTCTAGCAGTGGGCTGTGGACGTAACGAGCACGGATCATTAGCAGCAGTGGTCAATAGATACTTTTCCTACCTTCCTGCCAGAAACCGATGAAAATGTGTTACGAAAATTCAAGCCTCCTAGCCATTTGGAACAAGCTTCCCGCTCCTCTCCCCAGCAAGCAGGGAGGCGGTGTTCCCACACGCCCCGCACCCACCTGTGTACACACACACACACCCTGTGGGGACCTCACACGTGTCCAAAACGTCTGGAGCACAGAAGCACCCAGGCTGGGTTTTGGCCCAGGTGCAGGAGGGTGCACGGGCTGCTCGGGGTGATGTCTGTCAAGGACAGCAGGCAGCTGGACAGGAGCAATTTGCAGCTTCCCACAAACTGTGCCTGGTATTTTGTTACTCTCTGTCCCTTCTGTAGGAGCAGGGTGAAAGGGTTGGAAACGGCTCCTGCTATGGAGCTCCCTCTGGCCAGCCTGGAGCGGGGAGAGGGCACTCAGCCCCAGGCAGAGGATAGCCCACGCTCTGCTGTGGGTATTTTCTGCCTCCCAGGGCTCATGGGAGCCTGCATGAATTAGGACATCAACAGCACAGTCCTTCTGGCCTGACTTGTGTCAGGAGCATCTTCAGATGCTCGCCGCTCTTTCCTGGGTCCTCCGTGGGCACTGCAGCATCAGACCAGACACAAAGCCATGGGGTGGCTCTGAGTTAAGTTCAGTCTCTTGCCTTGGCTGTAGGGTCAACATTCCCTTGAGGTGGCTACAGCCCAGGTCTCACCTCCAGGCTAGCCCGGCATCCTCAGCTTGGCCAGCAATGTCATTCTTCTGTGTGGCCAGCGAGCCTGGGACTTCCTCTGAGAGGTGACCTCCTCCTGAGTGGGGAGAAGGAATGGAGATGTGAGAGCCACCCACCTCTTGCTTCCCACTGTCCCCTGGCTGGGGACACGGTGAGTAGGGCCCTCCTGCCTATGCCTTGTGCCCACAGCTGAAATAGGGAGGTGTAGCATGCTCTGCCTCTGCAAACAGCCGCCTGTCTGAAACCCAATCGCCAGGTTGGCAAGGCAGATGGGAGTAGGCAGGAAGGGGCTGTGCAGCGGGCCAGATCCTGACAGCGAGGGAGGAGGAACTCCAGCCTCCTTCCTGAGTCTCAGACAGACACATTAGGGCTCATTTGGGGAAATTAGGCGTTGCTCCTGCCAGCGTCTTCTCGGGAGCAGAGGTGCAGCGGTGCCAGCCCCGGGGTGGCAGATGGAGGTTAACGAACGAGCGCCTGGGTGAGGATGGGCAGCGGGTGCAGGGGCTCTGGAGATGCTGACGTGGGTGTCCCGGCTTCAGCAGGCGGCTGCAGGGTGATGTGGATGAGCCGGCCAGGAGGCGAAGCGGGGGGACTGCGTCGGTACTGCCTGCCCTGGCTCTGCCTTTCCCTCTTGCGTTGGCACCGGGAAGGTCCCTCACCAGCTGCCCAGAGCTTGTCAGGAGTTTGTGTGTCAGAGACCTCTGCCCTTCAGTTTGTCAAAATCGTCTTGTTAGCATCAAACTAGGGAACAGATAGTCGAGTGCATGAGCAGGGACTGCTTCAACCTCACTGCTGAAGGAGATCAGGCTATAAAAAACATTAGAGCGTGGAGGAAAGGGATCCCTCCAAGGCATCCATGGGGTTCTTGCTGAGAAACAAAGACCCAAACTAGACACCACTGCTGAGCAGCAGACGCAGGAGTCCCACCACAGCCATCCCTTGTCATATCGCTACTTGAGCAGGGACCCTTGCATGCTGGGGAGGGTGAAGGGGGTCAAGTCCCAGGTGCTTTTTCGGCCCTGCAGGAAGCACTAGACTCGGGCTGGGAGCTGGGCAGCTTTCAGCGCACACCACCCCTCGGCTCCCTCTGAGAGCACTGGGCTCCTGTGGCTCCCGTCTCCCCTTGCCGAAAGGGCTCCATGTTAGTCCCCAGCTCCCAGCCTGCTCTGGCAGCTTGCAGGAAGGAGAGAAATAAGGTGTTTGGAGAGGCTGAAGCTGCTGACCGTACGAGCAGGCTGAGCTGCTGCAAACACCCATTGCACCGCGAGTCCTGGGGACTGGACACCCCGTGCTGTTTTTCTGACTGAATCCTCGCTGCCTTGTCCCATTTGTTTGTTATTTTAGGTTTGCCCAGGTAGCTGCGCCTCTCGTATTTGTTATTGCAAAGGTAATGAGCTGTGCCCCTCTTGTGTTACTGTAGGATTGCCTGCGCCGATGTGAATCCTCCCCTCCCCTTAATTACCGTAGGGCAGCCCAGGGAAATGCCCTGGCTCTGCCATGTCCGGCCCTGGCAGTCGGTGCCAGAGGGGATTCCTGGGACAGATCACAGCGTGTTTCATTGCCGTGGAAGGGCTTAGTCACTGCGGATGTCTCCAGTCTCCTTTCAGACCTCAGATTGCTGCACATCTTTGTGGCACTTCTACTGCACCTTATACAGTGTCATTTCCTGGGGGACAAGATCATTCCCAATTTAATCAATTTGTTCCCTACCCCTTGTCTGTCATCCCCTTATAACAGAGGAGCCCCAACCTGTGGGGGCCTTTGAGTCCTGCAGCAAGAAAAAAACCCCAAACATATGAGCATCATGGGGCAAAATGGCAAGAGAATCCCATTCTGGGGATACGTGTGAGTCCCAGGGGTGGTGCATGGGGTTATTTACGTTGCTGTGGGCAGTTAGGAGGGTGCTGAGTCTGGGATGCTGACCCAGCTCTGCTCCTGTGGAAGGAGGAAAGAAAAAGAGGCTGCTTTAATAAATAAGTGGCCGTGGAAAACTTTCCAGTTCTGCTGGGAGAGGGCAGGTCCGCCTTGGCAAGGAGGGAGGGGAGACTGGCAGCCGTGGCAGGCTTGGGGGTCCAGCGACCAGCCTGTCCCCTCGGCCACCTCCGAGGCCACCCCGCTGGGGGGGGTGTGACAGGCCGGTGCTGCCATCTGCTGCTGAGCAGCGCGTCTGTCCCCCCTCGCCGGGCGTCCCCCGGGCACCCCTGGGCAGCCCGGTGGGGCAGAGCCACCCTCCTCCCCCCTGGGGTGCATCTGCCGGTCTGCAGGGAGACTCCTGTTTGCCTTGTTGCGGGGGGTTTATCCGCTTTTATTTTCATCCTGAGCCTTTTTCTTTTGTCCCAACAGTGATGTTGCAAGGAGGGGCAAAATCGGTGCCCTGCTATCTTCACCATAGGGTTGCAGGAGGGGATGAGCTGGGTTCACTGGCATCGAAGTCACGGGAGACGCTGTGCAGGGAGGGATTTCAGGCGCTCTGATGCTTTTCCTCCAGCCGCGGTGGGTTCCCCCGTGCCTGCTCGCTGGCCCCAGCACAACCCTGGCATCAGCGCAGGGCTGCTGGGAACCAGGGACTGGGAGACTGGCAGCCTCAGGAGGCTTAAACTCTATTCAAATTTAGTCCAGAAATAACCTTTTTTCACGCTGGTGGCTGTACTAAATGTCACAAGTCATCTAAGTTTAGACTGTCACCAGCTCTCTCCTATATATAACCACGCAGGGCTCCTGACTGCATCCTGCTGGCACAGGTCACGCTGGGGCGATCTGGGGGGTGTATAGGAAGGCGACTGCTGTGGGCAGAGCCTAAGCGCGCTCCTCCCTTGCCATCGGTACTATCGGTGGCAGCTCCAGTCAGGCAGCACCGCTCAGCAGCATCACCCCGGGCTTTGCCGGCTGCTCGGTGGATGCCAGCGGACGGGGCTGGTTCGGTCCCGTGACCGTGGGGCTGCAGACTGAGGACCTTGGAGATCTCAGCACTTGTCAGCCGCGTCTTTGGCATCACTGCTGTCTGCCCCACCATGTGGTGGCTTTGCTGTGGGATTGACCTTGACTTTGGAGCATTGCTGGCTTTTGCTCTTGCATCTGCAAGGTGGGGTGGGGTGTGAATTTGTCACTTAATCCTCTCACCATGACTAAAGAGGGGCTTCTCTGCCACATTTTGTGTGTCATCTGGTCCTTTCTGGGTTTGGGATAACCCTCCCACCAGTCCTTCTCCGCTGACACACTGCAAACGATGGTGGCCTTGTATGTAGGAGCCCATCCTGACGCCCTACTCCTCCATGCCCTCAGACACCTTCTTGTCCTGAGCTCAGGGGTCACATGAAAGCCACGCCAAGTCCCACACAGTGGGATAAAGCCAGGGCTGTAGGCAGCAGCTGGGAAAAGGATTTCTTTAGTCATTTGTTCCCATCCTGCCTGGTGCAAAGATGTCTTCTGGGATCGGACAGGAGGCTCCCTGTGCAAAAGCAAGCCCCAGTCAGCTCATGGAGACCTGATGGTTTGGTACCCCTTCCCTTCCAGAACGGGAGTCCCGAGAGCATGAGGAGCCGACCACGTCGGAGATGACAGAGGAGACCTACCCACCCAAGGCCTACCGGCCCAAGCATGGGCGCCTCTCCGAGCTCAAGGCTGAGGCCCTGAAGAAGGACCGCCGGAAGAAGCTGACCCTGGCCAAGTTCGTGGGCATGGCGGAGAACACGGCTCACCCCCGCGTCGTCATCCCCGAGCTCCGGCAAGAGTTTGAACTGGTGGGTGCCTTCGCCTTCCCTCTGCGGGGCTCGTGCGGGCAGGGGGCTGCGGCAGGGCTTTGCCCCCCTGGGGAGCGGGTGCTGGTGGGAGGGACAGGGGACCTGGGGGCATTTGCAGCTGGAGGTTTGCTGCAGGGTGCTCCCCTTCTCATGCTCCATCTCTCCCTGCTCGCAGGGCCCCTGCCGCAGGCACATGGAGGCATCCCTGCAGGAGCTCAAGAGCAGCCAGCGGATGGTCCCCCGCGCTGTCCACCTCCCCAACTGCGACCGAAAAGGCTTTTACAAGAGGAAGCAGGTAAGAAAGAGCCCCACAGAGGGATGCTTCCCACCCAGGGAGGGTCTGCTGCCCTGGATGGAAAGGGTGGAGGTTTTCCCTCTGCTGGGCTGGTGGGGAGGTTGCTGTGAGCATCTCCAGGCACAGTTGGTGGTGGGTGGCCTTGCTGATGGCTCCGAGTGCCATCCGGCCTGAGGCGAGCACCCTGAAGGAGCTGGTGTGGGAGGAGGAAAAGTCAGAGAGCCCCGGGCTGGGGTAGTAGCAGGGAGGGAGATGTGCTGAAAGCAGAGAGCAGGAGCTAGGTCCTACCCAGGGGATTGCATCGCTGGAGTGAAAGGGGCAAAGCGCAGGGCTGATCCTGATCCCCAGCGCGAGGGAGCCACACGGTGTCTGGTGGCCAGCTCCTCATCTCTGCCCTTGGGTATCTCCCCAGTGCAAGCCCTCCCGGGGCCGGAAGCGTGGGTTGTGTTGGTGCGTGGACAAATATGGCATGAAGCTGCCGGGGACTGACTACCTGAGCGGAGACCTGCAGTGCCACGCGTTCGACAGCAGCAACGTGGAGTGAAGTCGCATCCCCTCCCTCCGCCCCATCACTACCTACCCAGGCTCCCTTCCACCCTCCCCTCCACACCTCCCCGCGCCCCGGGACTCCGATTCCTTTCATCTCATGTAAGAAGAAAAAAAGAAAGGAAAAGAAAAAAGAGAAAGGAAGGAAAAGAAGAAAGAGAAAGGAAGGAAAAGGAAAAAAGAGAAAGAGAAAGAAAGAAGAGAATGAAAGAAAGGAAAAGCAAAAAGAGATAAAAGAAGGAAAGGAAAGGAAAAGAAGAAAAGAAAAGAGAAGAAAAAAGAAAAAAGAAAAGAAAAGAAAAGAAAAGAAAAGAAAAGAAAAGAAAAGAAAAGAAAAGAAAAGAAAAGAAAAGAAAAAAGAAAGAAAAGAGAAAAAAAAACCCTGAAGAAACTGAGGACTCGGAATCTACAGCAGCCTCTTGACAACAAGGACTCAGCAAGGAAAGGACAGAGCCAGAGACAAACCAGCCGCGGCTGCTCCGCCGTCCCGCGCCTCTCCCCAACGCCACCCGCACCCCTTGCCACGAGCAGAGGCCACCCCGATGTAGGAAGCTCTCCGAGTTGGTGATTTTCCAGTACGGGTTTCGGGCGGGTTAATTTTTTTTTTTTTTTTTTTTTTGGGTTAGCCAGTCATTTTCTAAAGGGTCTTAAGAGAAAACCTTGCGGCCACCAGTGTTCCCCCTCCTCACTGCGGTCCTCTGGAGTCTCCTCCCCACATCGCTGGGACTCACTCGAGTTTATTTGATTTGACTTCAATCTCAAACGACCGCCCTGAATCCAGGCAGATTTCAATACATCAGGAGGAGGAGTGGGACTGCTGGCTTCGTGTCTGGAGATGAGCCGGGGAGGGAAACACAGCTCCGGCGATGGCATGAATATTCCCCCCCAAAATATCCATGGACTTCAAAAAGAAATAATCCAAAAAGGAAAGATATCCTTCTCCGTCCAGTTCCTTTCGAACGGGAGGTCAGAAATCTGTTTGGACAAGGGGGACTCTGACGGTTGTCCATCCAGGTGTGGAAGTGTTTGTCGCCTGCGTGCGTGTGCGTGTGTGAGAGCGTGTCTGTGCACGGACGTGGCTTTTCCTCCTTGCAAAAATTCACCTCGAAACCTGCAATCTGGAGGGCTTAACTGTAAGCAGGGGGAGAGATGGTCCCCCCTCCCAAAAAATAATAATAACCTGCCGGACTAAGCACTGACGGTTGTCCATCCAGGTGTGGAAGTGTTTGTCGCCTGCGTGCGTGTGCGTGTGTGAGAGCGTGTGTGTGCACGGACGTGGCTTTTCCTCCTTGCAAAAATTCACCTCGAAACCTGCAATCTGGAGGGCTTAACTGTAAGCAGGGGGAGAGATGGTCCCCCCTCCCAAAAAATAATAATAACCTGCCGGACTAAGCACGGGAGCAGAGTTATGGAGGAGCATCAGTGCCTGTGGGATCAGGGCCCTGCTGACGCAGAGGGCTGCATCCGAGCCGACCCCGCAGATACACCATCACTGTCCAGACTGAAGCATCCCTACGTGGGGACAGGGGGATCGGGGCCAAAACTCTTCACCACCCTTTGCCGCCATGAGGAAGAACAACTATGGAGTTGTTTTTTTCTTTTTTTTTTTCACAGCCAAAAAAGTGGTTTGCTCCAGAGGAAAAAAAAAACAAACCTATACTTTGTTTTGTCTTGGATTTTTGTTAAGGCTGTTTATAGCCTTCCCCATGGGTAGGAAAATGCCGGTCTCCATCCTTTCGCATTGAGGATACTGGTCACGTTGCCACAGCTGATTCCCGCCACCCTGCAGTAAGATCCTGCAATGGGCCCTTGCCTTTAACCTGGGATCCAGCTCCTTGTTGAGTGACAGCAGCCACCACGCCGCGGAGACCCACTGACTCAGGCGTGCTGGGACAGCCCTCAGCTGCCTTCCTGACTTTTTTGTTGTTTTTAATTTTTACGTTCAATTTTGGGACTGTTGCCTCTCGTTTCCCCATGACAAGGGTCTCCAGGATGTTGGTGCTCAGAGGAGAACCTGCAGCAAAAGGAAGGAAGGAAAGGAAAGCGAGCCGTGGGGTCTGGGTGCTGCGGTCCCAGTGGGCAAACATGCACCCACCAGAGACCACATCCCACCGCCGCGGCTGGAACTGGCAGCCAGCACTGCCCAAAGGACATGGCTGATCTCAGGAGGAAGGTTTCTGCACCCCCGAAGCCCCTTTGAGCGTGCTAGAGCTGGGCAGGGAGGAAAGGGGGTCCGCAGCACCACCAGGTCCCCGCTAGCGGGGATGGGACAAGGGGGATTCAACACTGAGGGGCTCCAGCGGAGGCTCCTCTCCATCATGGACTGGGCACCCTCGTAGCCTCCCACGGCATGGCATCGCTCCCCTGAGCACCCCACAGGCCCCCCACCAGGACACTTGCCCCGGTCAAGGGCAGGACTGGACACCCCACAGTTATTTCTCCCGGAGTTACGGTGGGGGTGAGTTTTGCCAATGGACTTCCACACAGACACAGGTGGGGCATGTTTAGAGCTGGGGGCGAGGCGTCTTCCCTTGCTGAAAAGAAGGGGGTGCCACTAAATGACCCCCCAAAAAACCCACAGGAGCAGGGTGATCCCTGTGTTGCTGGAGGGGAGCATGGCAGGTGCTGGGGCCCCTCCGGGCTCTGCAGGGCTGATGGAGCAGGGTTGGTTTGGCAAGGCGGGGGTTAATGGTGCGGTGAAGCTGGGGTGAAGAATGGGGTAAAGAAGGCAGGTGGAGGAGGAGGAGCCGCCTGTGCCAACCCCAAGGGCCACAGGTGCCATTATCGCCACTGTCTCCCATCTTCTCCACTTGCCGATCCCCGTGCAAAAC